GTAGCTCGTCGGTTTATTCGGTCGGAAACGCGAAAGATTCGTATCGGAGAAGAAGGCACTTACAAAAATATAGTACGCTGATGAATTCTCTAACTAATATATTTATTCACTAACACACACACACGAATACAGAAAACATGTACCACGTAACAGGTAAAGTAAGATCCGCGGTCGGATGCAATCGCAAGAATTCGTAACGGAGACGCGAACGCGGTGACATAAAATATAAACGATATGTACAACGCGAAATATAAACTAACTCCGCTGTCGGATGAAATCGCAGTGATTCGTAACGGAGACGCGAACGCGGTGACATAAAATATAAACGATATGTACAACGCGAAATATAAACTAACTCCGCTGTCGGATGAAATCGCAGTGATTCGTAACGGAGACGCGAACGCGGTGACATAAAATATAAACGATATGTACAACGCGAAATATAAACTAACTCCGCTGTCGGATGAAATCGCAGTGATTCGTAACGGAGACGCGAACGCGGTGACATAAAATATAAACGATATGTACAACGCGAAATATAAACTAACTCCGCTGTCGGATGAAATCGCAGTGATTCGTAACGGAGACGCGAACGCGGTGACATAAAATATAAACGATATGTACAACGCGAAATATAAACTAACTCCGCTGTCGGATGAAATCGCAGTGATTCGTAACGGAGACGCGAACGCGGTGACATAAAATATAAACGATATGTACAACGCGGAAATGCAAGCTGCACGGTAACGCGAATGCTGGCAGCGAATCGGCGCGCGGGGTCGCGGTCCCGAAATCGTGGCGCGATTCACGGATAGCGGACCCGTGCGGTGGCGCGCCCTAGGTAGCTGACGCGCGAACGCGGAGACGCGAATGCGAATACGATGCGGTGGCCACCCAATCGCGGCGCGGCGCGGGTGCGGCGCGTGGATCGCGCAGTTCAAAACTCCCCGTGGTCGGTGGGATGTCAGGAACTCCTGACCGGAGACGGAGAACACTCTCCACCCCCGTTGGTCCGGCCGGACACGACTAGAGTCGGTACTGGAAAGGAAGCTATCGGTGTACGTCCGGGAACAACCGGAAGGAGGCTGAGAACTTCTCTCGACCCCCGTGTCGTTTAGCGGTTCGGAAGCCCAGCGGTCACTGTTGAAGAACTCTCCGGGAAAGACCAAGAACACTTGACCCCTAGTATTTCTCAGTGCGGCTGGTCAGGAGCTGGATCAGTCGGATTGTTGGAAGCGATCGGAAAGATCTCGTCGTCTTGGCATAAAAATGCCAGCTTTTATACCCTGATGTTGTTCCCACTCGTATTGTTCCGTGGGACTTCGGAGCTTCCCGCCGGCTTAGGCAATACGTGTGGGAGACACGCGTTACGCGCGGGGATCAACGCCGCGAGTTCGGCGGATCTCGGTCCGCTTCGTCGATACCCGCTGATCGCTGCTTCGGTACGTGTGTCGGCGTAACGATCGGCGGGGTTCAGTCGCTTACGCGGGTCGACGGCTGGTACCTATGGATTATGTTTGCGTTTTTAAAATGGTTCGGGCGCACCGCGCCCTCATCACTGCGATGCAGCGGCATCCGACGGCTGTTTGGTCGGGAACGATGCTGTTTTACGGGGTCGCATCGTTACAGTTGTCTCTGAAGAAGGCTCAAAAATGAACCGAAACATGTAGTAAAAGCGCTTTAGTAAAATAAAGAAGTTTTACGCTACGATAGTCGTGTTATTTGCGCAACGTCTCCCGCGCTTGACTCCTATTGCCCTTGTTCTTTCCTTGTTTTTTTATTTATAAGGAGTCTTAGTCAGGTTGATTTATTACACGTTAAATGAAAAATAATTAATTTATTCCGGTCGAACGCACCACGCACAAAAATTTTTTAGACATTTTTTATATAATTTGTTGCTCACATGTTTTTAATATCAAAATGTTCCTCGTAATCAGGGTTGTTATGTTTAAAACATTTGTATTTAAAACAAATGTTTAAAATATGTTTTATACACTGTACAGTTTTAAACAAACATATGTTTTGAACAGATTTTAAACATGTTTAAAACAAGTGTTTAAATCGTGTTTTTTAAAAGGAAAATAAGGAAATACGAATTTTAGGCTAATAATATCTTTATACATTTATATATAATAATATACTTTTTTTTTTATATAATGTAAGCATGAACATATTTATATATATTAAATAACATTGAACCATGAGAATTTCAAACTAAATATTAATGATAAGGCCATTACGGTCTAGCGGGGAACTTGGATGCTTCTAATAATTCTAATATAATTAACATGTGAATTTATATACTGCGAATGTAGATTTTTATGCGTGCCGAAAATCCTTCAGACTTACAACGCAAAACTACCGCAGTAATATCACGAGTTAAATTGACAAACAATCTAACCATTTTTGATGCATATATAACGTCGGTACATAAATTCACACGTTAATTATATTAGAAGTATCCAAGATCCCCGCTAGACCGTAATGGCCTTATCATAAATATTTATATATTTTTAATATATTATATATATATATATACTTTCTTTCTCTGTTAATCTGTTACATAAAAACAAAAATTGAATAAAATTAAAAACCCAAAATCTTGATTTAAAAACTAATTTGGCAATAGTTTATATTTATTTTTGACTTATTCTGAATTTTTAGAATTTAAACTTTTCATAATAGATACCAACTTTGATGCTTTTTCTATTCCTAGTCTATTGCGTACTTTACTGTGTATAAACTATTATATCACCGAATTCACCGATGATTATTAAAACGGTCGAAAGCATTTTAACTATTAACAAAGGGGTCGCTGGAAACACTAAAAACTGTGAAAATCCGGTCACAATCGAAAAATATCTCATTCTTAAGATCTTAAGATGATCTTGAAATTAATTAAAATAAGAATAACCTATAAATATCAGATGTTTTAATAATGTAAATAATTAAATAAATGTAAATAAAATGTAAATAAAATTAAATAAGTAGTTTAACTAAAATTAAACATATTTTAAACAATATTTAAAAAAACATGTTTTAAACTGTTTTAAACATGTTTTAAACATGTTTTTTTTAAATATTGTTTAAAACATGTTTAAAACATTAAAAACATATTTTGAATAAAAAAAACACAATGTTTTGTTCTTTTTAAAAAAAACATGATTTCTATCAACCCTGCTCGTAATACGTACTATCGAAATATGTCCGTATTGGAATTTGTTGCTAACTGTAAGTCGCGAAAAACAACAAGTTTCTTCCAGCCAATAAAAGTATAATATGTACCTTGGGGTGATTTCCGCGCATAAGGAATGAAGCACAAATATCGTTCGCATGCAGTACATTTTGCAGGACAGTGCAAAATATTTCACAGAAGGTTTCATGAAATTTTGCTGATTGGTTTTATATCAAAAGAGATATGCAGGGGTTTTCCGCATGTGATTTTCTTTGCGTAAAGGATGACACTCCGAAATTTAAACTAGTTTACATTACGAGCACATAATTAACACTAAATTACAGCATGAATATTTTTTATATATCTTTATTATTTTTAGTACATTTTTCTTGTGCGATGCATGTTTTGGAGTTGTTTCAGGCGTGAAAGGTAGCGAACCGAAATTTAAACTAGGGTTCGTTACGAGCACATAATTAGCACTAAATTATAGACTGAATATTTTTTATGTATTTTTGTTGTTTTCAGTACTTTTTTCTTGTGCGATACACGTTTTGGAGTTGTTTCAGGCGTGAAAGGTAGCGCATCGAAATTTAAACTAAAAAGCACATAATTAGCACTAAATTATAGCTTGAATTTTATTTTTATTATTATTTTTTTAAATGTGTGTGCATTCTAACTTTATTAAAAGCCAGCAGAAAAATGTTTTCTTGCTAAACGGCTAGAACAATAAAATCGGGATTAGAGCAACAAATTAGCACAAAAAGAGCACTAAATCCTCCGTATGTCTCATGTGATTGTGCCCATTTTGGCATTTCTAGCAATTTAATTCGTAATATGATTATAGTAGCTTAATTGCGTTTATATATCCGGAAAACTAATTTGGCGCGCAGTTCGAATGACTATGAATATGATATATATGCATGAACATATATAGTATATACGAGGTGTGATCAAAAAGTAA